GCGCTGACTGGTGAGGTAGCGCTGAGTCTGGCGGAGCCAGGTGCCGAACTCTATCGGACGTCCCTCCGCATCGAAGCGAAGGCGGTGGGAGGAGTCCATAGTGGAGGCTAGGCTAGCGGCGGCTGGAGTACGGAGCAGGCGGAGTTAGGAGCGAGGAGGGAGAACAGCTAGCGACGGAGGAGGTGAAACTAGGAGTCCTAGGAGCGCCAGTGGAGGAGGAAACCGGGCTAGGGGCTAGAGGCTAGGAGCTAGGTGCGACCCGGGTCGAAATCGAGTGACCAGAGAGAGAAGCGGCTGCCAGCCGCTGAGCAGAAAGCCAATAGCAGTAGGAACGGTTTGAGCCCGGGGAACAGGGCGGTGGAGGGGGGAAGGAACCACGTGCCTAGTGCGGGTTGGGTGAGGGCGCGAGCTAGGAGGGCGCGCTGGCTAGGTGAGGAGGGGCGATTGGGGCGTTAGGAGGAGGTGGCGCATGGGCTGGGCGCGGCCTTTGGCGAGGGCGTCGGTAGGGCGCGGGCTAGGGCGAGGGCGCGGGCTAAGGCGAGGGCGCGGGCTAAGGCGAGGGCGCGGGCTAAGGCGAGGGCACGGGCTCGGCGCGGGCTAGGCGCGGAGGGCGCGGTTGACGCGGAGGGTGCAGACGGCGCGGAGGGCGGGGCTAAGCGCGGAGGGCGCGAGGCGCGGGCGGCGCTCGGGCGCGGGCTAAGGCGCAGGCTAAGGCGCGAGGCGCGGGCTAAGGCGAGGGCGCGAGGCTCGGGCGCGGGCTAGGCGCGGACGGCGCTCGGGCGCGGGCTAGGCGCGGACAGCGCGGGAGGCGCGGGCTAGGTGCAGAGGCGCGCTAGGGGGCGGAGGGCGCTAGGGCGTGGAGGGCGCTTGAGCGCGTGACGGAGAGCGCGTGAGGCGCGGAGGCGCGCTAGGGCGCAGAGGGCACTAAGGCGCGGAGGGCGCTAGGGCGCGTGACGGAGGGCGCGTAGGGCGCGTAGGGCGTGGAGGCGCGCTAGGGCGCTAGGGCGCGAGCTAGGCAAGGATTCTAACCTACTCATGATACCAACCTCAGAAACTGAATGCAACAGAATCGTGTGACTTGGAAAGCAAGGCAGTACAAATATGAAACCCTAACTGAGTTGTACTCACTAAGGAGCACCTCACTGCAGCCTATAACAAATAATAACATTTGACAAGGTGCTGCACTGATCATAAGGGTTGCTCAAAACCAAAAATTAGCACTGGTCATGAATGTGGTTCCACTACAATGTGGTTCATTGCTCATAATAGTGTTCATTGGTGGACTTCTCCAGCAGCTTTTGCATTCACAGATTTCGTTGTGACTGGTTGTACGTACGAGGTTTGCTTTTGTCCAAGAAATGAAAAAGGCCTCAATGGAAGCTCTGATAGGGGGCCGTAGGAACACACCCTTATAGCTTTTGTAGTTAATTAACAACTTTAGAACTTCTACCCTGCATGAAATAGCACACTCATAAGCCTACACATGCAGAAAAAGGTTCACTGTAATATAATATTGTAAACATAATCGAGTTTATTCTCACTGCAGACCTACTCGCCCCGCCTCTTCCTCCCCGTCTCGTCAAAACCTGAACCCTCAACCTCTGCTTCGCTTACCCTTCTCATTTTGCTTCTGTCCTCTCTCCTGCAATCTCCTCCGATCACCGTCAGATTTTCGCCACCATCTATCATTTCCCTGCGATTCGAGCACCCGTCTTGTGCGGCTTCGTCCTGCACTTCCGCAAGCTGCGGTGTGCGCTGAGTTGCCTCGGACCGAGACTCATCCCTACCGCTCCGCAGGGAGAGGATCCGCCGCTGGTCCGCACCATGCGTACAAGGGTTAGCGCTAGTAGTAGGGTTTGCGACAGCTGTGCCACTTGTCGTTTGTGTCCCGACGACTTCCGCCGGCGTGTTCGTCTCTTTCGCCGTCGTTATCAGCAAGTGTGCTTTTGGGCTCCCGCCACTAATGGCTCTGAAAGTCGCCGGCAGTGAAAAGTCCAGCTGGGACCTCACGTCATTGTACCCCATATAGGCTGTTCCTCTTTCAAGCAATTTGCCAGAGACCCGCTGTGATGGGTAGTAATAGTAGCGTGATGGGACGGCTGCTGACGCAAAGGCGCGTTTCGGGTTTGGGGCAGGGAACAGGTTTGCACGCAATAGGCTCAGAGAATCCTCAGAAACACCCGCTTGCAGCAGCCTTTGACAATCCTCGAACACACGTGCCGCCGCCGCCTTTGCCGCTCCGTTCGTTGCTCCGCTCGTCCCTCCCCTCTGCGGCGTTGACGCGCACCAATGCGGACTTCTTGTCGCCGCAAACCGGCGTGTAGCGGTGCTACTACTAGGTTTGTCGGCGGTGCTGCAGACGTGCACGTGACCGTCACGCACTGACTGAGTTGTTGGGCCAAAACAGTCTGGCGTCATGGGCGTTTGAGTCCGCAGGCTGGCGTCAACAGGGCCAACCGGGTAAACAGGGTCAACCGGGTCAAATGGGTAAAAAACAGAGTCAAGCGGGTCAAGCGAGTCAAGCGACATGACGATGTCGAGATCCGACTCGTCGGGCTCCCACGCGGCGGAGTCGCAGACGATGGGCGCATCATGCCGCGCCGCCTGCGGCGGCAGCGCCGCCTGATCATGCGGCGGCGACCTGCGCGGCGCAACCTGCAGACCGCTGGGAGGCGCTGATGACGACGAAGATGCTGTTGACGATGACGCCGGAGTCATGGCGGTCGCTTCGTGTTCCTTTTCTCGGTTCTTGAATCTGTCAATCCCGGAAACTTCGGTAGTGTCACTTGGTGGAAACCTACTACAATCTCGGAAAAACGTTCACAGGAAGTGCTCAGAAAGGCTTTCTGAATGGAATGGAACAGATAGCACACAATTTGTTATTCGGACCATGGAATGCCCTCTTATCACAGCCCGACTGTGCCCCAAGGGTGCTGCCAGCCACCCGGCATCCCAGCGGGTCGACTCGACTCACAACAATGCCTCACCCGCGCGACCATGGGCGAGTAGCGGCCGCGACGGGAGAGGGTGGGGGAGGGGAGGGGGAGGGTAAAGGCGGTGGGGTTGTGCTGCCAACTCAGTGGGTTGGATTTGGGAGGCCCAGCGGAGCGTTCGGGGGTGTGGTCTCGAAATCGGCGGACGATATAGATTCTATCCCTCGTATGTGAGGATCTTGCGGATGCGGAGATTCAAGAGCTCTCCCCAGGAGTGCCGCGGTGCGCAGGTCGTTTCGCGAGAGGCGCCTCAAATCCCCATCTCCCTCTTCCCCCTCCCCCTCTCCCCCCAGTCCCCCTTCTTTTCTCCTCCCTTTCTCCCCCCCCCGCGCACCCTGGCGGCAGAGCAGTGGAACGGCATTCCGCAATTTGTCGCGTTGGCGACCAATGGGATGGCTGACTGTTTCGGTGTCGGTTTTTGGATTGGTCGCACGAATGCTCCTGCCAAAGCCATCGGCGTGGTTGTCCTTGACGAGGCCGACAGACCAGAGCATCCCTCTCCACAACTCACGGACGTCCTTTCCTCACGCGCGGTCGTGTGGGGGGCGGGGGGGGGGGGGGGGGAGAACGAAGGGGGGGGTGGGGTGTGAGAGGAAAGCGAGGGGTTGAGGGATCACAGACGATCTCTAGATTCTAGCTCGAAATACAGACGATGCCCAAAACAGACGATGCCCAAAACAGACCCCCATACTTTCAGGTCACCTTTGGCCTAACTCGAGCATCTCGTTTCGCCACGGGCATAAAGGTCCCCTGGTTACGCCGAAAACATTTTTGCAACAGTGTTGGGTGCCAGGTTTGTTGTCCAGCAGCAAATGGGGTTACCAGCCTGAATTAGGCGGGTCTCAACCACTCGTTTGTCAGATTTTCGAATATAAATTTGGGGCCGTTGCCCCAGCCTAAATTGAACTTAGGCGATCATTCGAGAATGAGGCAAATTCGTGAGCCAAGGTTGGGCAACGAATTCCTTCGGAACAACCCTTTGGTTCGGGTAAACCAGGAACCACCTCATCCCCGCCAATTTCACGCCCTGAAACTTCTTTCGGGAAACACCCCTAAAGTTTAAAACTACTTTAGGACGTGTCACTGTTTGCCTCTGATCGGCTGTGATCCGGTCGGGGCTGATCTGATCGGGGTGCCCCTGATTACTGTGCTCGCGCCGCCCGATCAGATAAGATATTCCTCGAATATTCAAGGAGGGTGCATGGCAAGCGTGTCATCCTTTCTTGACACTTTCGGGCCCACTTTGGCGAGGGCGAAGGCCTCACCCTGGATCTAGCGAAGTTATTGTTTCCCTGTAATGTCGCGTAAACAGGTTCCTAGAAACCCAGGGTGGTTGATTGAGCGAGGTATTCACGACACATAATACAACTCGGTAACTCCTCGCTGGCTTCGCTTGGTATCCCAAACCAATGCAATCAACTGATCGTCGGTGATTGTCTGGGATTGTGTTTGATTGGGCTGTTTTAGGCGGTTGATCGATTTGGGGCGATCAGCTGATCGCGATCAAGTGATTGCCCCCGATTGCCTGAAATCGCCACCCTAGCTCCCCGAAGTTGAACTTGGCAAGGACATGGGTTGATGCATTTGAATTTGAAGCTGCCTCAGAGCTGCAGTGCGCAGATTCTGTGGCATCCCTCCTCCCCCCTCTTCCCTCCCTTCTTCTCTCCTCTGTCGCTTGCCCCGCACGAACAGCCTGGCGCCAGTGCAGCATACGAACAGTACATGTATTCCTGCGCCTCGCTGGTGCTCTACAGTACTGCATCTGTTAGCTGATTGTTTTTGTCGCGAATGCTCCAGCCAAATGCTACCGACGGTTCGTCCCTGTTTCTGTATTTACCTAGTGGATGCGTTTTGCTGCCCTGAACCCTTGCACAGCATGGTTAAAGCCCGAGTTCAGCATGGTAAAGTTTCAAGTTATGTGGATTTGAAATAGGCTGTCGGTGACGGTGTGCGAAACCTATTTCGGTTGAGTGGCTTTGGCGAGGACTACTTTTCTCCGCGAGCAATTTAACATTTCGTGCATACCAAACCTGCGAACCTCACCAACACAAAGCGAAAAGTGGGTCGCATGAAGAGAAGAAGACAGCCAACCGAAGGTTTCGCACAATACGACGCACAAGGAAAGTGTGGCTGCACTAGAAGTCTCTGCGAAACTGATTCAACTCGACTGTGCTCACGGGAAATATAAGAACAGAGCTACGCACGTCCTACCGCTAACAACGCCACCTACTCAGACTGATATCGGTAAAAACGTCGGACACCAATTGATTAGGCTTTCATAGTTGCCGTCACTCATTGTACTTGAAACGGATTAGAGTTAGGGTGTAAGTCGGAAGTAAATCGCTTCCCCTATGAGCTGCGCAGATTTTGTCGCACGGGAACAAGTCACTGTGCGACAGTGCATCGTGCGACTCGCTGGTCCTGTCAGCGAGTCCGTTATCCACTCGCTTCGATTTCAAACTGCGAAGCAGCATACAACCTGAGCGGACGAGCAGCGAGAAGGTTGAATGGGGGCGGCAGGTCGACACGGGGACGGCGGAAGGCGGAGAGGGAGGGGAGAGGCGGAGAGGGAGGGAAGAGGCGGAGAGGGAGGGGAGAGGCGGAGAGGGAGGGAAGAGGCGGATAGGGAGGGGAGAGGCGGAGAGGGAGGGGAGAGGCGAGGCGGAGAGGGAGGGAAGAGGCGGAGAGGGAGGGGAGAGGCGGAGAGGGAGGGGAGAGGCGGAGAGGGAGGGGAGAGGGGGAGAGGGAGGGGAGAGGCGCGGAAGGGGATGAGGCGCGGAAGGGGACGACGAGGAAGGGGGTGAGGCGCGGAAGGGGATGAGGCGCGGATTCCCTTGATTCCCGTCCTTTCCTCCCCTTGATTCCCCTCCTTTCCTCCCCTTGATTCCCCTCCTTTCCTCCCCTTGATTCCCCTCCTTTCTTCCCCTTGATTCCCCTCCTTTCCTCCCCTTGATTCCCCTCCTTTCCTCCCCTTGATTCCCCTCCTTTCTTCCCCTTGATTCCCCTCCTTTCCTCCCCTTGATTCCCCTCCTTTCCTCCCCTTGATTTCCCTCCTTTCCTCCCCTTGATTCCCCTCCTTTCCTCCCCTTGATTCCCCTCCTTTCTTCCCCTTGATTCCCCTCCTTTCCTCCCCTTGATTCCCCTCCTTTCCTCCCCTTGATTCCCCTCCTTTCCTCCCCTTGATTCCCCTCCTTTCCTCCCCTTGATTCCCCTCCTTTCCTCCCCTTGCTTCCCCTCCTTTCCTCCCCTTGCTTCCCCTCCTTTCCTTCCCTTGCTTCCCCTCCTTTCCCCCCTTGCGTCCCCTCCTTTCCCCCCTTGCGTCCCCTCCTTTTCCCCCTTGCGTCCCCTCCTTTCCCCCCTTGCGTCCCCTCCTTTTCCCCCTTGCGTCCCCTCCTTTCCCCCCTTGCGTCCCCTCCTTTCCCCCTTGCGTCCCCTCCTTTTCCCCCTTGCTTCCCCTCCTTTCCCCCCTCTGATTCCCCTCCTTTACCCCCTTGCTTCCCCTCCGTTCCCCCCCTGCTTCCCCTCCGTTCCCCTCCTGCTTCCCCTCCTTTTCCCCCTTGCGTCCCCTCCTTTCCCCCCTTGCGTCCCCTCCTTTCCCCCCCTGCTTCCCCTCCTTTCCCCCGCTGCTTCCCCTCCTTTCTCCCCTTGCTTACCCTCCTTTTCCCCCTTGCGTCCCCTCCTTTTCCCCCTTGCGTCCCCTCCTTTTCCCCCTTGCGTCCCCTCCTTTTCCCCCTTGCGTCCCCTCCTTTTCCCCCTTGAGTCCCCTCCTTTTCCCCCTTGCGTCCCCTCCTTTTCCCCCTTGCGTCCCCTCCTTTTCCCCCTTGCGTCCCCTCCTTTTCCCCCTTGCGTCCCCTCCTTTTCCCCCTTGCGTCCCCTCCTTCTCCCCCTTGCGTCCCCTCCTTTTCCCCCTTGCGTCCCCTCCTTTTCCCCCTTGCGTCCCCTCCTTTTCCCCCTTGCGTCCCCTCCTTTTCCCCCTTGCGTCCCCTCCTTTTCCCCCTTGCGTCCCCTCCTTTTCCCCCTTGCGTCCCCTCCTTTTCCCCCTTGCGTCCCCTCCTTTTCCCCCTTGCGTCCCCTCCTTTTCCCCGTTGCGTCCCCTTCTTTTCCCCCTTGCGTCCCCTCCTTTTCCCCCTTGCGTCCCCTCCTTTTCCCCCTTGCGTCCCCTCCTTTCCCCCCTTGCGTCCCCTCCTTTCCCCCCTTGCGTCCCCTCCTTCCCCTATCCTCCCTCTTCTTACGGTACTTCCTTCTTTCCCTCTCACCCCTGCTTTCCTCTCCCCCCTCTTTCCTATCTCCCCTATCTCCCCTGTTTGACTTTTTTCTTGTTCCCCCTCCCCACCCCTCATATTCCCTCCCTCTCCCTGGCTATTGCAGTGACTACACTGAAGAATTTTCTGGTACTGCAACTTGCCTCAGCCCATCATCCCATGCCATGCTCTTAGAGAAACCAGTTCCCCTCATGTCCTTTTCAAGGCCTTGAGAAAGGTACAATCAAAAGTATTCGGAACATGCCTCTATGTACCCTTCTGACACTCTTAGTGTTCATGCATCTTGGAAGAATATATTGCATTGCAGAAAAAAAAGTACATATTGTGCGTTTGGGATGGATATCTCCAACAGTATTCTCATATCATGCTTGCATACAACAGGCAAGAAACAGGTGGTGGTATGGTGTAAAGCATCGACTAGCTGCGCCTCAGCTTGCTCCTCTGCTTCACCACTGGAACATGGGGATGGTGGTGTGAGGTGGAATGGAATCACGGCAAGGGGATACAAGCAAGCGCACATGATGAAAGCATGTATGGTGAGGAGTCAGGGGGAAGGGGAGGGCATGAAAAGGAAGGGAAGGGTTGAGAAGGGATGGGGAAGGGAAGGGCAGGACAGAGAGGGAAAGGCAGGGATGGGGAGGCAGGTGGGAGCAGGGCAGAGGGTGGGGGGAAGGAGGGCTGAGAGTGGTGGGAAGGAGAGTGAGAGTGCGAGAGGACGGGGAGAGAGAGTGCGGGAAGACTGAGAGAGGGAGTGTGGGAGGAAGGAGAGTGAGAGTGCGGGTGCAAGGAGAGAGAGAGAGTGCGGGAGAAGGGAGAGAGAGGAATGGGTTCGTGAGGGTGGGAAGGAATGTGAGAAGGTGGGAAGGAATGAGAGGGTGGGAAGGAAAGAGAGAGGGTGAGAATCCCTGAAGGAATTATATGTGGTTGGGAAGGAATGAGGGAAGGTGCGAAGGAATGAGAGATGGCGGCAGAATGAGAAAGGCTGGGCGACGCGCAGGGCCCGCACTTGCGACAGGCATTTTCCCAACGAGCGAGGGTGTCGAGCATGGGGAATACGAGCGACGGGGGGAACTGCCAGCGATAGGGGATGGGGGGAAGCAGGGAAGGGGATGAGGGGAAGCAGGGCAGGGGATGGGGGGAAGCAGGGAAGGGGATGGGGGGAAGCAGGGAAGGGGATGGGGGGAAGCTGGTAAGGGGATGGGGGGAAGCAGGGTAGGGGGTGGGCGGAAGCAGGGCAGGGGATGGGGGGAAGCAGGGCAGGGGATGGGGGAAGCAGGGCAGGGGATGGAGGGACGCAGGGTAGACGATGGGGGGAAGCAGTGAAGGGGATGGGGGGAAGCAGGGAAGGGGATGGGGGGAAGCAGAGAAGGGGATGGGGGGAAGCAGGGAAGGGGATGGGGGGAAGCAGGGAAAGGGATGGGGGAAGCAGGGGGGATGGAGGGGGGAAGCAGGGAGGAGGGAGGGTTGTCCTTCCCCCTCTGTCCCTCCACATTTGTCCTTGCCCCTCTGTCTCTCCCCCTCTGTCCTCCCCCCTGTTCCTCCCGTCTCTGTCTCTCCCCCTCTGTCCTCCCCCCTGTTCCTCCCCTCTCTGTCTCTCCCCTTCTGTCCTTCCCCCTCTCCCCCTTGTCTTTCCCCTTCTGTCCTTCTCATCTCCCCCACCCGTTCCCTTCCTGTCCCCCGCCCATCAATCATTCTTTCACTGTGACACCATCCCCCCCTCAGCTGTCCATCCCCCTCTGTTCCTACCGCTCTGCCCCTCACATCAGTATGCACTCACTGCGGCTGGAAGGAGCGAGGGCGTATGGGGGAGTTGCTACACACAATGCGCGTGCCGTCGGCTTCAGCTAGTGATCTACGGAAGATCGCGAGTGAATGGTTGAGCGCGTGACGAGGGAAGGAGTGCGCGTAACGAGGGGAAGCGCGCGTGACGAGGGGAGGAGAGCGCGCAACGAGGAGAAGCGCGCGTGACGAGAAGGCACGCGCGTGACGAGAAGGCACGTGCGCGACGAGCGGATTTGCGCTTGACGAAGGGAATCGCGCGTGACGAAGTGAAACGCGCGTGACGAAGGGAAACGCGGGTGACGAACGGAAGGGCATGCCGAGGGGCAGGCGCGAGCGACGAGGTCAGGCGCGAGTGATGAGGGCAGGCGCGGGTGGCTAGGGGGGGCGCGGGTGACGGCGCGCGCTAAACGTGGGGTAGCATGGTGAAGCACTCGTTTGTGACACACGTTCCGTGTGAGTAACGCGAAAATGTATGTAAATATCGTGTGTGACACTGGGCTTGTGCTGCCCAGCTATTGGCGAGACAGCATGAGTGACGTGAAATGCGCGTAAAAAACGCGGTCGGGGAACTAGCTGATGCCGCTCTGGCTTTCTACTTACGTGAGGGAATAGGCCGATCATGATATGTGAGAGCCAAACAATGGGCCAACCTGAGCGACGTTCGGTTCTGTTTTGCGATTGTGCACAAAAGCCAATGAGGAGAGAGTGTCGCTAGGCGTTGTCCCAGAGTCGCGAGAGTTCCCTCAAACAAAGTAGGGTAACCCTGTTTTTGACGATTTCAAGTTCAAGATTCTTGAACTTGAAAATAGCCATGCTGTACTTGGGCTTTAAGAAACAAAAATGAATTCTAGCAACGAATCAACTGTATGCCTAAGATTTCCTGCTCTACTGGAGAGTACCCTCAAATGCTTGGGTGGCTCAAAATGAAATGACAGCTCCGAAAGCCCAGCCTGGAAAGCGGGGCTGAGCGTGGGGTAGGAAGCAGAGCAGGAAATTGACGGCGACAGATACAACCAATTCCTGCCGCTCAAATCACGTTCCATCCCAATTGGTCAAATCCCCTGATGGGCTTCCTTTGGGCGTGAATGATTCCCAAATACAGATGTTCTCGATTAACAGAGCCCGCGCTAACAGAGTCCGTTTTCTGAAACGAGTAGCTTTTTCCTATATCTCCTAGGTGTAGCCCCTCCTATACAAGCCCTTTTGGCGGGAATGTTTGCCGCGTGACGGGGTTGATAACTGTGCCGTGCACAAAATCAGTTCCGCAGCCAATCGGAGGACTCGAATTGAACCAAACCAGAATTCGCGTAAATTACTTTAATAGGCGAATGTTTTACTCTAACTATGTTTAGTTGACTAATCTCTTGTTTATCTTAACCGCGATAGCTTGTACATTCCATCGTGTGTTTCCCACCACGCGAGGGGATGACATCTCATGTATTTTGCTGACCGGCCTTAAACAAAATAGGAATCTAATAAATAATGGCATCAAACAGTAATGTTTTTGTGTACTTCTGCCCGTCGGTTACGCGACGATGACAATATGGAAGAGCCGTGCGATGCGAAGTTGAAGCAAGCGCGGTCACAATGTGCAGACTAGTCGCGAAAAAAAACCGCTTCTCATGCAAATTTCCTGAATTTGGGACTGTAAGAGCGTGTTCCTACGGCCTCATATCAGGCAACCTCGTATCAGATTCGCGTTGAACCGCACTAAAACGCATCCAACCGCAGTCGAACACACAGAAACGTATTTCACCACGCGAAGCTGATACGAGGTGTATCTGATACGAGGTGTAGGAACACGCTCTAAGGTCCCGTTTGCATGGGGTTTGTAAGTTTTGCCACAAAGGCCCGCAGCGCGAGTGTTTTTCACTGGGAATCTAAACGAGAACATCTGTACACCTAACCACCACTAATTTCACGTTGCAGGATTCAAATCGCGACTTTGTCGTTTTTCCCAGGAGGTGAAATTGGGGGAAGCAAAAAAATCCCCTCTTTCACCACAGGTGCTCGGTAAGGTTGGGTGCTGCACCTCCTCAGTGCGGTCTCACTATGTTTTACAGAGATAGAGCTAGGTTCACCAGCAGTCAACGCAAACAATACACACGCCGCCCTTTCGCCCAGCCCACCAGGTGACGACAAACCTTGTGAAATTAGCGATGGTTGGGTGTAACAAGAATTACGTTATGCTATTAGGACATGGTGCAGATTGGGGCGATTTGAGGCTAATTGCCTCGATCAGAAGCAATCCACAATTTCCGAGAAGCCCTTGGGGCTTTTTGGGCCGATCGGGGGCAATCTCTCGATCGCGATCCATGTCCCGATCAATTGCGATCGATTGTCTCAATCTGACGCAATCGATTGCGATCGCAAGATTGGGTTTGCTATCGACATGCGCGATCAGTATCTAGCCCTACAAAAAATCGCTTCTGCTAGCTGCAACAATGTATCTCGCCACATCATATCTATCTAGACCCATTTGGCGACAGAAGGGGGCTACGATGTAATCGCGCGATACCGAGATTCGCTAGGTCTCGCTAACTTTGATGTGGAAGGGACGTGTGACTAGCCTGGAAGTCACAATTGTGGTTCTGACAGTTCTCGATGAATTTGTCTCTCCAGATCGCGCGGCGCGGGCCAGATGGCAGATCGCGTCAGGACAAGGCGATCCGATCCGATCAATCGCGGATGGCCTCAGATCGATCTGCACCACGTTTTTAGCAGAGTTGAATATCTTACACTTAGGAAAGTCCAACGCATTTGTATGTGCTTGTAAAGAAACGACTTTTTCTTACTTCGCGTCACACTACATACTGCTTACACTACTATTCCCGCCATTGTATACCCAATAGTAGCCCGTTACCACATTGCAACATTCGCCTCGGCACTGTTCCCGCCAACACGACCATCGCGCCCAAACCACCCAGCTCGGCTGGTAACCCGCGATCCGGCCCTACGCTTCGACAATTCCCAACCTCGACATCAGGCCCGACAGGACGCCCCTTCGCGAGCGCGTTACCGTTGTTGAAGCACTCCGCCTATATACCAATTCGCTCATGCCTTCGCTCATTGTAATGTTTGCTTCGATTGTGCAATCTTCGTTCGCTCACCCAATTGCACTCGTAACACTTGGTATTCAGAGCCACGACCCTTTTTCGGACCACGCACACCTTCGCTTCCCAGTTATCACATTTTGGGGGGGGGTTAGACGTCCCTCAGCAACCAGCACTGCTTTTCGTGTGCTCTCTCGTAAGCACATACAGCCACGACCGAGGCTACTGCTGAGCCTGCTCGATGCCGCTGCCATGGACGAGACCGCCTGCATTCCGCTCGAGGGCATGACGCAAGAACGCCTCGACGATATTATGGCGGAGATACACTCTACAACGGTCAGGAGCTAGACTATGGGGTTGGCACGGGTTGTGTGAGTGATCGTAGCTTTGCCTGCGTTATCTAGCACTTGCACATTCACGGGAAGAATTGGCAAGAGTTTCACTAGCAAAGTTGGGATTGCAGAATGATTGAACAAGCAATGGCAAAACTAAGTACATTAGGAGCAAGCAACCTAGCAGACAGGCAGGTCGATCGCCAGCGCAGAATGGTCGACCATCTGCCAGCGCTGCATCTACGCGGCTTGCCAACGCTGCAGCAGAGCGGCTAGCCAGCGTTGCGACCGCAGATGACAATAGCGCACGCGCACCCACTTCGCAGGTGCTTGTAGGTGGTCGAGCACGTTGTGCCTTATCCCACCGGATGCGCGAATGCCAAGTCGGCCACGTGCCGACGATCGCGCCAGATGCTCCACGTCGACCTCGGGATACCAGCCCGTAGGTCAACTTCACCAAAGCCCGCGGAAGCGAAACTCGCACGCCTGCCGAGTTTCGTAGACGAGCAGCTTCCGTCGACCAGTTCAGCGGTGCTCGGTCGAACAGAACTCGTCGACCAGTGCTCCTCGACGGACCTCGTCAAGGAGCTCCTCTACCGACCTTGTCGAGGAGCTCTTCTACCGACCTTGTCGAGGAGCTCGTCGACCATTGTCGTCGACCGGATCCCGTCGAGCAGAACTTCTGTTCGACCACAGCTCCAATCGACCTCTTCGACGTAGCTCCGTCGCACAGCACTTCGACGAGCTCATCGACCACCCAGGTAGAAGTCGGCCGCCGATCTCCTTCGTCGGCGGCTTCGCAGAGGTCCCGCGCAGGGCGACCAAGTTCGTCGAACTGCTCACCCAAGTCGACGTTGACTTCTGTGAGCAGTCGGCTGCATCTCCTACGCACCCGACTGCGTAGAAGGCTTAGCCCAGGCAAGGGCGGGGCTGTTTTCCCGTCAACACTCCCCTGCTGCGCTCACGCTTGGGCACCCTACACACTAGGTCTAGCCAGAACCCAAGGGATAGAATACACGGGGAAATTCTTCGTCGGAGTGTACCCAATAACACAGCATGCCGGTCACCGCACCAGCCATGCAGAAGGGCATGGCACCTACTGCTGCACGTTGTCATCATCGTTGCCGACGTTGGCCAGGCGCACTTGGCCGATCGCGACAGAGCACCGGTTGAAGGCTGGAAAATGCAGCGCCTTTGTCAGGAAGTCGGCCGGCTGCTCGGTGGTCAGGATGTACCGCAGATCGATCTTCCCGCGCTTCACCATCTGCTGCAGCCAGGCATAGCGTCGCTCCATGTGCTTGAGGTTTCCCTTCAGCCCCAAGGCTTCAGTGACCGTGATGGCCGATTGGTTGTCCAGGAGTGGCGTAAGGGTCGTGTGGTCGCGGAAGAAGCACTGAGACGCGCCCGAGTCCAGCGTGAACGACAGAGAGGTCTCAGCCGGAGGGTCACCTGACCCAGTCGCTACACAAGCACCTAGAGCAGCAACACAAGCACCTAAGCTAGACAGGCACAAGGCTACACTAGC